ACTGATCTGCCTCACCCAGGAAGAGCGCAATGATGGTGCCAAGTTGGGCCAGTGAAGCAACGTCCTCCACAACTGGACTGAAGAACAAAACGACTGCAACTTGTCTGTTCCCCTTCCCCCAATTCCCTAGCGCTGTTCCCAGACCCCCAATTCCCCAATAAAAATGTTAAAAAAAAAAAAAATCGAGCCCCCTTCTTTCTTGTTCTCAAAATGTGGTTCAAACACTATCTATACCGAGAAAGTCTGTAGCTTTAATTTAAGAGGCATATCACTGCACTCCAACATATCTGCATAATAAAAATGTCTGGGTGTTGAGCCTATTAATTTGCATTTTAACAACCCTTGGGTTATTCTTAAACCCAGTTGTTTGAAACTCTTACCCCATTCATGAACCTTATTCAATAGTTACACAGTCAAGCTGCTTGTTTAATTAAATTGTCTGCTCAGTCAAAGTCCCTGGAAGTAGTAAATACTGCTTCAAGTATTAACTAATATTAAGACAGAAAAATGCTGTGCCCTTACATAGATCAGTTTACATAGATCTAACTATGAAAATTATGGTATTCTTTAAAACACACTTCAGCCCAGAGGTGAGGGATGAAGGAGTGGAACAGGAGATAGGGAGAAAGTTATGCAAAGAAAATACACTTCTTGATGTTTCTTCCTATGCAAAATTCAAATAAATAAATAAATTGCACAGTAAATTATGAAAAGAGAGTACCTATACATCAATACAGTATTAAGTACCAGGATACATATTTTCATTTAATGATAACAGATTGGTCATTCATTTGTATATGCCGTTTAAGAAACTGGTTATGAAGAGCAAATGTATTAATAAGTTTTCTTTAATGNTATGATCTGCATGATGTACTTTGCAACTACAAATGATTTATGCTAGTGGAAAGACATATAAATTCTTTAACTCTGAATTACTGACTATCTTGTTATCCATTTTATGAATAGGGAATATTATCATCTCTCGTGTGTCCTTTCACTAACAACATAAGCAAGACTGTGTAAATAACTGAGAATAGGTTGCTAGCACAGTATGACTGAGGCACTGGGCACTGGTGATACAAAGACAGTCAGTCCCTTAGTCAAGAGAACCTTACAAAATAAAAAAAAAACATTTACGTGAAGTTGAATGCAATAATAAAATTAAGGACTCCTTCTTCCAGAATCTAAACTACTCCCTTAATTAGGTAATTTGGGTGACAAATTCTTTCAGCCACTGTTTGCAATGCAGTTTTGTTTTAATTTAATTTGTTTTGTTAATTTCAGGCATACAAAACAACAGTCATTCGACATTTATATACCTCACAAAGTAATAACCCCCATAAGCCTATACCCATCTGACACTGTACATAGTTATTAGAACAGCAATGTAGTTTAAGTCACATTCAGAGTACATTTGTAATGAATCAGAGATAACTCTCTGAATAGGCTCACTATTACATACTTTGATAAGCAGTGGTTACACTTGTGACAGTCATCATTTAGATCATGTTTATGTTGGGATTTTTTGTTTGTTTATTCTCCTTTGTACATAAGTTGATCTCCATGAACCCTTAGGGAAACAATTACTTTTTCAGGCCTCTAGGATATTATTAGGAATATTATCATTACACTTCATTAATAAAAATCAATAGGTATGTATATAAATCTATTAACAGTAATTCCATAAACTCTCATTACCAGAAGTGATGACACACAGGAGAAAGTCTATGCTAAGCATCTTGAGAAGGTTGTTTCCTTACAGATCTGCTAAGCACCTTGAGAATGCTTTTTGTTTCTTTACCTTCACTCCTTTTGGAGTTTAACTGGGCCCAGTGTACAAGGCTATGGGGATAAACAGATTTGGTCTCTAACTTCATGGAACTCACAATTTAGTGGGGAGAAAGGCACACAATCTACATGACAACATCATTAACGCCTTTCAACAAGAGAAACGTAGGTAAAGATAAAAGCAGTGGGAAATGTTGCTCTTCAAGAAACAACATACGTTCAAACGAGCACTCACCCATTTTCAAAAATCCTTGTTTATCTGCAAGCACAATACACGGTGGAAAAACAGTGCTCTAACGCAGGCCCTTGGCTTCCCGATTCTAACAGAGTAGCTGTGTGACTTTAGGCTTGTCACTTAACCAGACTTGGCCTCAGCTATTTCGTCTAAAAATGTCAGTATTATCTTACCAGCCTAAATCCAAATCATCTTACCAGCATAAATCCAAATCGTCTCTAGCGACTTCCAGGTCTAAGAGCCGCATTACGCACATATTCATCCATCAGATTTCCCAAGTAATCATGGCCCATGGAACCAGTGAGTAAGCTAGGTGAATTACAGCTCCTAAAATGAACTTTTATATCACCAAGATAATAAACTGAGATAGGCCCTGTATTGCACTTTCAACTTTGTGAGCTCGAAAAGCGTATTACTCAGGCCACAATATAGTCTTATAAAGATAATCAAGAGTAACTGAATGTCTGATCTGTGTACCGCTCCAGTACAACAGCAGGGTGTTATTTCCGACCAAGAATCCCAGTTTCTCCACTACTGGAACCACGTCTCCAGGAGAAATCCACGGAGACATCAAAAAAACCTCTCAAGGCGGGGGAAGAGATCCTGGGTAAGCTAAGACAAGCTCTCAAAAAAAAAATTTTTTTTTAAATTAAAAATAAATAAATAAAGCTCTGTTTTTTCCTCCCCTCCAGCTATGCACGGAAAAGCACTAGATTAGCATCATCTGCATTTCATTCCTTTTCTTTTGCAATAGCTACGCGCTTATAATAAACAAACCTTGTGCTCAGGGGAGAATTTACTTCCCCGTCCAGTAAAAACGAAGTTCCTTATTTTCACTAACAACGACGTCTCCAATCAACACCCACCCTCTCTGGGGAGGAGACCAGGCACTCCTCTCTCAGCCACCTCCCGCTGCAAGCTTGACACTCCACACCCTAGAAATCGCCCCACTTTTCGAGACACTGCTGCAGGGGTCGCGAGGCTCTAGGGGAGAGCGGAAGAGGCCGGGGATGCGGCGTGCAGGCTCCGAGGGGCGTGCAGCCCGGCCCCTGGGCTCCGGGCTGCCTCGGCCGGCCGGGGACTCCCCGAGACGTTAAAGGGAGCAGCAAGCCCCGCGCCATCCCCACTTACCCACTTTGTCCTTCCCGTACATGTGTCCGGCCACCTGATGCGAGAGGGGCACACAGCCGTTGAGGAAGCGGAGCCTGCCGCCCGCCGGCTTCGGGGTGCTCTCAGAGACGGCCTCGCTCGCCGGTGGGGTCCTCATTTCTGGGGGGCCGGGCGCCTCGAGCCGGAGCGGGGATGGTGGCTCCGTTGCCATAACGGAGAGCTGAAGCGGTAGCGGCGGCGAGGGTCGGGAAAAAAGAGGGCGAAGGGAGAGGGCGCCGGAGAAGCTGGGGGTCGCTCAGGCTCGGCCGCGAGGAGGCCCGGGGGTTCCCGCGGCTGTTGTCCGCTGAGGCCCGGGGAGGGGGCCCATGAC